CTGAGGTACAGGAAGTTCACTGTAGGTTTATGGTTAAAGGTGTTCAGAGGAGAAGGAGGGGTTTCTTCAGGTATAGATAAGATCATAGGAGAGTGGGGTTGGAAAAGACCACAGCAGGTCATCTAGTCCAAACCCCTGCTCAAGGCAGGAACAGCCCTAACTAAATCATCCCAGCCACATGTGTGTCCAAACTGCTCTTGAACATTGCCAGGGATGGAGATTCCAACACTTCTCTGGGCAACCTATTCCAATATTACAAGCTGGAGCACCCTCAGAAGCAGGAAGCTTCTCCTCATCTTCGACCTCAGCTTACTCTCTTTCAGCTTGAAGTGGTTGCTTTTAGTCCTTTCTTGTATAGCAACAGAAAAAAGCTCATCTCCATCCTATCTGATAAAATCCGCCCTCAGTCTGCTCATCTCCAGACTCAGTCACCCTGCTTCTTTCAGCCTTTTCTCATCAATCCTGCTTCCCAGGCCTCTAGCCATTTTTTGTCATTCTTTGCTGGACTCCTTCCAACCTGATATATCTGAGCTTAGGTCCCTGTGCAGAGAGATGTAGTTATCCATGTTAGTCTGAAGTCAGGTAGAAGGCAGGATAATTTTGCATCTTTAAACTAAAAGCAGCATGTGTGTATATCCTTTCTTTTTCATGCCCTTGTGACAAAGTATTTAGCAGAATTCACAGATTCATTGCAACCTGACTGGCCAGACTGCAAGCACTTCTACTATGGCCTCAAACTTGCGACCCTCTGGTCCATCAGCCATGCACTTTTGCCAGCCCAACCACCATATATGTGTGTGTCTCTATGTAGATATGCGTAAGTGTATATAAATGTACCAGCCATACACGCGTGCACACATTTGTGGGCTTATGCTAACTTCATTAGATTCTGATGAAATGAAATATATCCATCCACAAATGTGTGTGTATTTACACATGTGCATGCGTACACACACATGTTTGTGGACCGATGATGACATAATCAGATTCTGATGGAATACACACACACACACTTTCTCTTTGGTTAGTCTGTAAGATGCAATTTTACCCTGCCTTCTCCTTAGGTCCCTATATCAATTTCTTGCTTCTTCTTTAGCTCAGCTGACAAAGAGGGTGGGGGGGAAGGAGAATTTTGGCTTTCCCAAATCCATCCTGAGCATTATACTGGAGACCCTCAAACCCTATGCATCTCCATGGGACTATCAGCGTGTTTCTATGACCATGCAACCATTTTAAGAAACCAGCAGAGGTAAGGGGGTGAAGTGAAAGATGTGTTAAACTGGTTACATGGCCCACAGCAATAAACTGTTTCTATTGCAAGGGACATTTCTAATAGATAAAGTCTTAGGGTGTGTCCAGATGAGCATGCATGTGCATTTTGCGGCACCTCAAAGGAGTTTGAGATGTCATAAGATGCATGCCGGGCACCAAAAAACCTTCCCCGCACTGTATATTTTCAGCACGGGCTCAAAATTTGGTACCTGGAAATCCAGGTACCAAAATAAAACTTGAGTGAGAAAAGCAGGGCAGGGATTTCGGAGCATTTTCAGAAGTGGATTTGGGATGCTGCTTCAGCAGTCCAGCCAACACAAGGGGCTAGATAGCAGTTGGCCTGGCCCCAGAAGCTCCTGAGAGCAAGTAACCCTGAGCTGCTTGCCAGGCCAGGTTTTTAGACTGCTGGGGACAGCACAGGTGCTGGCCCTAGGCTCTAGCTCCCCCAGGCTGCAGATCTGGGTGGGGATGGGCAGGGTTATTTTGCCCCAAGTGGCACAACTAGCCCCACACCCAAGTGCTTGTCCTGGCACGTGTGCTGAGGCAAACATCCCCAGCTCAAATTTGTGCCACTCCTATTTGAGCTGCTGCAAGCGCATATGCCTGTATGTGTGGATGCGCCCTTAGGATCTAATCATGCATGGAGTTGAGGTTGGGTCTTCACTCAGTAGCTTGCAGGATTTAACTCTAAATCTGCCCCTGGATTATCTCTCCCTCTTGCCCCACCCTTGACAGCTGCTGCCTCCCGTGACTGAATTGGCTTTGTGTTCTTCTCTTGGCCAGGAAACCCAGTGACCACAATTATAGAAAAATCCATTGATGGAGCCAACGTTAAACATCTCATTGTGACGCCTTCAGGCTGTGGGGAGCAGAACATGATTGGCATGACACCGACAGTCATTGCCACCCACTACCTGGACAGCACCAATCAGTGGGACAAGGTCGGGGTGGACCGGAGGAATGAAGCCATCAGGCTGATTAACCAAGGTAAAGATCTCTCATGTGACATAGCTGGCCCCTCTCTGGTGCTGGGAGGTGCCACACTGGACCAAGCTGGAGGTCCATAGAGTCCAGTAGGCAATGATTCTAGGAGATGCTGCAGGGAACATGTGATGGAGCACCTATACACGAGCCAGGAGGCTGCTCCAACACTCTGTAATTACAGTGCTCCTACCAGCCTCTGCACCTCATGTATCAGTGTCCCCATGCTTCAACATGGTGGTAGGGGTACGTTAACTAAAGCTTGTTCGAGCTTTAGATAAAGCACACTTACTGCCATTTTGAAGCACAGAGATGCTGATATACGAGACACTCCGGGAGCTATAATTAGAGCATCTCTTGGAGCCACTCCTAATTAAAGCACCCTCCTCCCCCCCCTCCCCCTCCCTCTCCCACTTCTCTCCAAAGCATGTGTGAGCATGTGTAAAAACACCCATGCAGTTACACAGGTTTGGGGCTGCATCAATAGAAGCATCAGGTGCAAGACATGGGAGGTGACAGTGCCTCTCTACTCGGTGCTGGTTAGGCCTCATCTAGAGCACTGTGTGGAGTTTGAGGCTCCATATTTTAAAAAGGACACAGAGAAGTCAGAGAGGTCCAGAGGCAGGCAACAAAGATGACTGAGGGCTTGGAAAGCAAGTGATACGAAGAGAGGCTGAAGGAGCTGGGCATGTTTATTTGCAGAAAAGGCACTTAAGAGCAGACATGATAGCAGTCCTCAAATACTTGAAGGGCTGCCATAAAGAAAAGGGGGGACATCTTTTTTCTTCTGCTGCAAAGAATAGGATGCAGATCCATGGCTTGAAGTTGCAGCCACGTAAGTTTACATTGGCTATCAGGAAGCACTTCTTCACCGTTAGAGCAATGAAGCAGGGAATGTGTGGACTCTCCATTACTGGAGGGTTCAAGAAGAAACTGGACAGGCACTGGCCAGTGATGATACAAGCCTATGGTCTACTATGGGGATTTCCCAGGCTTCTGGGCTTTGCTGGTTGCTGCCTTGCGGTGGGAGGAAATCCTCCCTACCACCTCCTTTCTGCTGCACATGTCAGGGTGTTTTTAAGCCTCCCTCAGAGACACTTGGTGTTGGCTGTAGCCGATGTTGAACATAGTGACTGAACTCTGCCAGTGCTCCTGCTGGGACATAAAGCCAGTGGTTCCTTTCTAGAGGATATTGTTCCTCCACTCACAGTCCAACTGATACCACATTTGGGGTCGGGAAGTAATTTTATTCCATGGTCAGATTGGGATGGATGGGGTGAGGGTTTTGCCTTCCTGTGTAGCAGGGGACATGGCCTCTGACTGGGATCTCTTAAGCATATATTATTATAGAAGCAGGATGTTGGCTGCCATGGTTCCCCTGCTTTACCTGTGGTAGAGTTGGTTATGATGCCATGCCCTTTGTTGTCAGGGTTGATGGTAGTTTTGCAAAGAGGTTAGAAGATGGGTTTGTCTGAGATAAATGGATGGGATTGATCCTACCTCAGGCAGGGGGTTGAATTAGATGTGACCTCTGAAGGTCCCTTCCAGCCCCACTTCTTTGAGAATCTGACACATCATGTTGGGCAGATGTGGAAAGTGGCTGGAAGGGGGGAAGCAGGTCTCTGAGACTAGGTTAAAGAAACACAGGATCATTTCCCAGCCCTGTTACAGACTTGATCGATCTCTCTCTCTCTCTCTCTCTCTCTGCCTCCATTCCCTATCTGCTAAGGGGATAATATCACTTCCCTATCCCACAGATGGGTGGGGAGGAGTCACTTGGGTATGATGGTTATGGGGTAATAGACATACCGTATTTTCCTGCGTATAACTAGGGCCTGGTTTAAATCACGGTGTCCAGCTTGCCAGTATTGTGACCTGATTGTGGTGGGGGCCATTATTTTCATGTCCAGATCATGGCACCATCCCCTACCACCACCACACTGCCTGATTGACTGAGGGGGCAGGTTTAGGGGCAGGTTTAATTGCAGCATCAGAGGCCTTGCTCCCAAAGCCTCTGATGGCTGCTGAAAAGCCCATGCCCCACCCTCACTGAAGGGGTCCCAAAAGGGACAGGGAGAGGAGAGAGCTTGGGAATGGGTCGGGGAGGGACTGTTTGTTCCTCCTGGTGGGAAAACTGGAGCACAGGGGTTGGGAGTGTCTGGGGGCTGCCTTGGCAGATGGCCCTAGCACTGGGGGTAGGGAGGGGCTGTTTGTTTCTTCCTCTGCACATGTACTCTCTCTCCTCTCACCCTCAGCCCCAGGCACCTCAGAAAACAATGTGAGTTTTCCCACCTGGAAAAGCAAACAGCCCCTCCCCTACCCAGTGCCAGGGCAGCCCACAGGGGTCCCCAATCCCCCTGTGCCCCAGTTTTCCTGCCCAAAGGAGCAAACAGTACCTCCCTTACCCATCCCCATGCTCTCTCCTCCACCTGTCCCTTTTGCAACCCCTCTCCCCTGGGCTGCCAGGTTTTTGCACTGAGGAATGCTTTCTTCAGCCTGCCCCAGCCATCCTGTTGCACTGAAATGCGACGATACAGCTGCTTGCAGCCATATTGTGGCATTTCATTGCAAATTACGTTTTTTTTTTTAATGAAAATCGCTTAATTTTGTAAATTTCACAAATATGCAAAATCATGATTAAAACTAGGCCCTACATATAATGCACCCCTGAATAAAATACGCACTTTTGTTTTTCAAAGGCAGAAGAAAGGATTTAAGATCTTTCCTTGAAAATAATGGCAAGAAGCAAGTGAATAACTGAATAGCAGCTGAGTAGGAACCTCTGCCAGGGGGAGGGGGAGCAGGAAATGTCCAGAACCAGCAGCTAGGAAGCATCCCATGTAACACTGAAGCATTACTTTTGTTTCCCTCCTCCACCCACAGAGGCAGGAACTGATTATCACCATATTTCCTCACCATGTGCAACTCAATTCCTAGTGGCTGAATTGGGGTAGGAGGTGTGTGTTGCATGTGAAAAAGTATGGTATTAAGGGAACCAGGAAAGCAGGAGTTAAAAGGGAACACAGATTTGGGGTGCAGTCAAAGGAAAAAAATCAGACACATGCTAGGTTCTTGCCCCTGATTTTGCTTGCTTTGTATCCATAAGATCCTAATGAGAAGCTAAATAAAAGAGACCTACCTCTTCCTGTCTCTTCCCTTTGTAGGTTACACACAACAACTGGTTTACAAAAAAGGTGACTTCTCCTATTCTGCCTTCCAGAACAGGGAGTCAAGCACGTGGTAAGTACTGTCTCTCTCTAATATATTAGATTGGTAAGAGTCCAGTGGAGAGTGACAAAAATGATTAGAGGCCTGAGAAACTGAGGAAAGGCTGAAAGAACTAAGGTGACTGAGCCTGGTGAAGAAAAGCCAGAGGAGGAATTTGATCACAGTCTTCAAATCCCTGGAGGACGATGACAGAGGAGAGGTGGGCTTTTCTCTGGGGCCACAGGGGACAGGACTAGAAGCAATGGCCTCAAGTTGCAGCAGAGGAAATTGAAGGTGGAGATGAGAAGGAACACTGCATTGGAGCGGCTGCTCAGAGATGTGGTGGAGCCTCTATCCCTGGAAATGTCCAAGACTAGCAAGTTAGACAGATACTTGGCTGGGATGATTTAGTCGGAACTGAATCTGCCTTGAGCATAGGCCTGGACTAGATGTAACCTCAGGAAATCATTTCCAGACTGATTTTTCTGATGATCCTACTGATTTATTGCTAGCCTGTGCCTGTGTGTAGTTATGAGATGTGAGTCAAGGCAAATTTAATCTCTCATCCAAAGCCAAGTAGGGAAAAAGGGCACCTGGGACAAAGTATCAGGTACCTGGGACACTTTCATTTAAGGCACCGACTGCCACAGGATTCAAAAGGCCTGAGTTTGGGATCAGGGATCAGATCCTAATCTACTTGCCATGGGATCATGATCACAGGCTCTCCCTGCATTAGCAAGTTGAAAACCAGGTGCCCACAGGCTGGTATGACTTGATGAGGTCCCAGAGCTGGGCCAAGCAATCAATTGATTGTCCTTACCAGCCTTAGAATAGCTCTGGGCATATCACAGTTTAAGAAGCCACACAAACCAGCCCTAAAAATGTTCTACATTATATGTGGAACACTTTTTTGCCTGGTTTGCTATTTTATGATGAGAGTTGGACTGAGCTTTCATTAATCTTAGTAGGTGCTTAAATAACTTTGCAGTTCGGAGTAACTCTGTGAAAGTTGGATGTGAGCCAGAATGAAGGCAACTGGATTGTTGTTCATTGGCTTACGTGAAACAAGTCTGAAGCTTCTGCTGTCCAGTTCCCTGTGGTTAGAAGTGGGCTATAGATCATCCTCACAGCCCTACCACAGTAGGCTGTGAGAGCTTGTGACATCTCCAGCTAATAGTGTCAGTACTGCTAACTGAGATGATCAGTTACCATCACTGACTCATGTCAACCTCACCCATTACCAGATGGTCCAGCTTTCTCATTCACAAGCATTTCAGGACTGATTCAGATGTGGCTGATTCTCCCCCTCAGGCTGACAGCATACGTAGCCAAGGTCTTTGCCATGGCTACCTCGTTGGTGGGCATTGAACATCAAGTCCTCTGTGGAGCTGTGAAATGGCTGATCCTGGAGAAACAGAAACCAGATGGGGTTTTCCAAGAAGATGGCCCTGTGATCCATGGAGAGATGGTGGTATGTTTCCTTTATCCTTGAAATGCCAGACACAACTTACTTACATCACCATGATAACTTGTCAATTCTTCGTTCAAAGAGAAGTCTCAATGGTCCATATCCCAAAGACCTCATTCAACCTGATTCTCCTGTCTCTTACACTAGTGGGCATAAAGAACATCCCAGTGGAATCATAGTAGTAGAAATTACCATGTTTTCTGGCATTTAACACATTTTCTCCCCCCAAAAAGCTGTTGGAAATTGCAGGGCATGTTATATGTGAGCAACATGGTAAGAACAGCCTCTGCCTTACTGGGCAAAAATGAAAGTAAAGTCTGCATGAAACTTGTAGGTAGTAGAATAATGAGCAGGCTCATTGCTGTTACAAAGTTACTTGCTACAAGGAAAGATCTTGTTTTAGAAAAGCAAAATGAAGGAAAAAAGGTGTGTATTATATTCCAGAGCAAGTTATGTATGAGAAAGTATGGTAATGGAGATTTAGGCCCAGTAGGTCAGGTTTTTTCTGTCCATCTATTTTCATATGCCCTGTGTGTCTCTATTCATTTTAGTCCTCAGTAGACTTCATGGAGTGTCTGGAACATCTTCCTTTTGGGGGTAACATTTCCGCAGACATTACCATATTACATGGGCTGTCTGGGATTCCTCCTCTCTTGTTGCTGTGCTCAGGTGAATTTCTGATCCCAAAGCCTGTCCTTTTTTTCCCTTCAGGGAGGATACAAAGGTGCTGAACCAGAAGTGTCCTTAACAGCTTTCGTCCTTATTGCCTTGCATGAATCCAAGGACATTTGCAAGGATCATATCAACGTGAGTGTCTCTTGTGGGGTCTATATATTCACATCCAGGTTTTTCAATCTTCCTAGAGCTCTGATATTTCAATCCATAAATGCCACGAACATGGCAGGTAGGGATGTAGTACCCAGAATAACATCTTAAGGATGTCACCAAACTCATCCAGATCCTTGGGTTTGACTTCTTGGCTTTTGTATATGTGTCTTGTTTCCTCTTCATCTTCTAGAGTTTGGAAGGAAGCATCAACAAAGCTGCTGAATTCTTATCTAAAAAATACATGTTTCTGAAGAGGCCTTACACTATCGCGCTCACATCCTATGCCTTGGCTTTGGTGGAGAAATTGAACAGTGAAAAAGTGCTCATGAAATGTGCAAAAGGTAAATCAGAACATCATATATGGTGCCAGAAACAGGGGCCAAGTAAGGCTGGTTAGCAGAGGAGGGAAGCAGGGATGGCTGGAGGTGAATCTATGATGAACAGGCATAGCTAGACACATACTGGTCTCAATAACACATGGTACAAATCCAGAGGACCTCAACTTAGTTGAATGGCATTACTCCAGTTTTGAATGTAGGATGTGCCATAGACTTGACCTCAGTTTGTCCAACAGGAAGCTTGCAGGATCTTGTACATACTATATTTTTTTCATATACAACATACCCAGGCATAAGACACATGCCTTGTTTTTAAAGAAATAAAAGATCTTCTGGCAATGTTGCTGTCTGCTAGCTGCTCCTGGTCTCTCTCCTCCTATTTCATAGCATTGCAGACTTTTTTTAGCCCTGTCCCTGCTCTATGCAGCCATAACTAGAAAAAATCTTCTTCACTTCATTTTGCCTTTCCAAAACAAGGTGTGTATTTTATTCTGAGGGGCACTGTATATGAGAAAATATGGTATTTTGGCAACTTGTATTATCAGTTTCTCCTTGGCACGGACACAGCCTTGCAATGCCTTAAACACTGATTAGGTGCTTGGCCCAAAGGGGCAATAATATGCCATTTGGGAGCAGATATTATGCAAATTATAACATACGGGAATTTGGGAAGAGGCAGCACTTTCTAATCAGATGAGCTCAGGAGAAGGAAATTCCATGTCCTGGGGATGTCATTAGCAATTTTTTTTTTTTTTTGTTGGTGCCTAGGGGCAAATCACTGGGAAGAGAAAGGTGCTCGCACCTTCAACATTGAGGGCACCTCCTATGGTTTGTTGGCTTTGTTGAAAATGAAGAAGTTTGAGCTGACGGGTCCCATTGTCAGATGGCTGACAGAGCAGAAGTACTACGGAGGTGGATATGGGTCTACCCAAGTGAGTATAGACCTCCCAGAATCTTGCAAAGAGTCCTCAGTCCATTTCCTGTAACAGAGCCTTGTCTCCTCTCTGCATAAGTGGATGGTACAAGCTCAGGTGGCAATTGTGAGAAATTTGAATGTGCTGATGAGAATCTAAGGTTCAGTTTTCTGCTGTCAAATCTGCTGTTGGCAATGGATGCCTACTTTTACTTGATGCAGGGGTTTAGGTTGTAGCCATGTTGGTCTAAGGACATAGGCAGACAAGGTTCCTTGGGTGAATTTGATATCTTTTATTAGACCAACCCAAATGGTGGGAGAATAGTTATTAAGCAAGCTTTCGGGTTCAAAAACCCTTCGTCAGGCGGGTTTTTGAACCCGAAAGCTTGCTTAATAACTATTCTCCAACCATTTGGGTTGGTCTAATAAAAGATATCAAATTCACCCAAGGAACCTTGTCTACTTTTACTTGATGATCATGATGTATTCTGTGCTGACCAGCCTGGTGGCACTCTTGCGCATGTCAGTGCCTTAAGTCATCCTGTTCTTTGCCATACTTGGGGCAAATACAACAACCGGGATCTAACATTTTGGGGTCAAGAACTATGTCTTTCACCCCCCTGCTGGTTAGTGTGTAGCATAGCTGTCTATATCACATAAGAATAGCCAAAAATTTATTGCCCTCCGTCTTAAAAAAATCATCTGGAATCAACCAGATGAAAATCAGGACAAGAGCAAAGACTTAATCATTGCATGTACAAATACAGACTGGAGAATGATTGGATGGGATGAAGCACTGCAGAGAAGGACCTGGGGGTTATGGTAGACCATAAGCTGAATAGGAGGCAACGAGGTGCTCTTGCTGCAAAAAAATCCAACAGCTTCCTGAGTTGTATTAACAGGAGCGTCACTTGTAAACCAATGGAAACGATTCTTCTGCTCTGTTCAGCACTGGTGAGGCCTCCCCTGAAGTCTTCTGCCCAATTTTGGGCCCCACACTTCAAGAAGGATGTGGGCAGATTGGAAAGAGTCTAATGGAGAGGAACAAAAATGATTAGGTACCTGGGAAGCACTGGAAGGACTGATAAGGATCGGCTGAAAGACCTAGGATTGTTTAGTCTGGAGAAGAAGTCTGAGGGGATTTGATAACAGTCTTCAAATATTCAAAGGGAAATTAGAGAAAAGATGGAGATGGGCTTTCCTCTGTGGCCATAGAGGACAAGGCTAGATGCAATGACCTCAAGCTGCAGCAGGGGAAATTGAGGTTGGAGATGAGGAGGAACTTCCTGACTATGAAAGTGGTCAAGCATTGGAACAGACTGCCCAGAAACTTGATGGAGTTTCCATCTTTGGAAATGTCCAAGAGCAGGTTGGATAGACACTTGGCCGGGATGGTTTATTCAGGACTGAATCTGACTTGAGTAGGGAGCTGGATTAGATGTGACCTCCTGAGATCCCTTCCAGCCCTACTTTCCCATGATCCTGTGATCCAATTGACACTTGGCTCATACTAATGTTAATGGGACAGGGTCAGCTAATTAACCATGTTTTGTCTGACCAGTGCCTGTTTGACCTTGCCTGACATCTGTTAAATCCATACACCCTGTGGGAAAACGCCCATTTTTGTCACTGTATTGGTGGATCCTATTCATTCAACAGGTCATGTAAGAGTCTTTAGGCCGTAGAAGAATAGAACCATGAAATATAATGTTCTCTTTCTCTCTGTGTCCTAGGCCACTATCCTGGTGTTCCAGGCTCTATCCCAATACCAAATGGACATCCCGCAACAAAGTGAACTGCAACTGGATGTGTCTATCCTCCTGCCACGGCGTGCTACCCCAGTAAAAATCCGAATTGAGAATAGTAATGCTTTCCTGTCCAGATCGGCAGAGGTAGGCTGCTTTTCTTTGCCATTGGTAGTGACTGGTGATACAACTTGGGCTTTGTCTACCATAAGGAGAAGGGATTCTACCAGGACCTCATCTCCCAGCCCTTTCGAACAGGGCTGGGTGGCATTTTTTCTGGACACCAAACGATCTTGATCCATAGAGTCTGACATATTTAAGGCTATGGAGGGCCATTGTCATCATCTAATCCAGTGGTTCTCAACTGTTTTAAACTTGAGTACCCCCTCATTAGATTAAGGCCACCCCTTGTTAGACTCAAGGTGCTGCTTCAAAAATGCCAGCTCCTGGTTTTCACTTGTTTTTTTTTCACTCCAGAAAAATACTACAGAAATTCTTCTGTTGCAGAGATCTCAGGAGGACCCCAACAGAGCAGAATGGATTTGACAGTATGGATTCCTGTTGGAAATCCCTTGGTTTATTTTGGGAATCATGGTTGCACACCTAACAGTGCTAATATTGTGTTCCACCCCATGGTACCCTTGAAAGGATCTCCATGCACCTCCAGCGTGCTCTGTCACCCTGGTTGAGAATCACTGATCTAATCTGACCTTCTGCATGAGACAGGTCAAAGAATGCCATTCCAAATTTGGCATCCAATTTTGCTTGTAATTTCTGGTTGAGCTCTTTCAAAAAGCTTTCCTGTCTTCTCTCAGTGATAGAGAATCCACCATATCTCTAAGTGACTTGTTTTAGTAGCTAATCATGTTCACTATTTAGTTTAAACCATAGAAAAGTAGGGACCTCAGAAGGTCATCTGGTCCAACCGCCTGCCTGAGGTTCGATCATCCCTATCCAAACCATCCTGAGCAAATCCTAGTCTAACCCAGCATTTCCCAACCTTTTTCACCCCATGGCACACTTTTTTACCTTAAAAAAAAAAAAAAAAAAGGCACTGCAGCACACCGGATGCGGAAGGGTGGCGCACAGCTGGCTGGATGCTGATGGGGAGGGTGGTACATGGCAAGCAGGACGGCATTTTGGGCTGGAGCTACACTCCCTGTCTGTCTGTGTCCACAACAGCAGCAGGTGCGGGGCATGGCTGCAACCAGGCAGGGGACATGGCCCCAGTCCAAAACTTGGACGTGCCTGACAGCACACCAGTGTGCCACGGCACACTGGGTGGGAAACAGTGGTCTAACCTGTTGTTAAAACTGTACAGTCAACCTTATCACCTAAGACATCACACCTGAACCTGCTATAAGTAAAGGAGGGGGACCATGGCAGCCAGTGTCCTGCTGCTACAGAGGTTATTAACATACCCTTGAAAGAACCCAGGTAGAGGTCATGCCCCCACTCCAGAGGAAAGCAAAGCCCCACAGTCCATCCCAATTTGACCATGAGGTAAAATTCCTTTCTGACCCCACATCTGGTGACCAGTCTGATCCTGAGTATAGGAGCCAGACCCTCTAGCCATGAATGGGTTTTAGTCCCAGCAGGAGCATTGGCACAGCCTAGTCATCATCCCCAAAGTGGGTTGCAGCCATCTAAGCGATACCTCTAACGGAGGCTAAAAAAACCCTGGCACATTTAGCAGAAAGAGGGGGATGCAGGTGATTCCCTCCCAGCACCTGACAGAAACCAGCAAAACCCAGAAGCCTGGGAAATCCCCATAGTAGAATATAGGCATCAGGGCTGTGCGAAACGGCACTGTTCTGTTTTGACTTGCGTTTTGTCGAAACAGTTTCATTGTTTCGCCCATAAGCTATAATGGGGAAGCTTGAAACAGCCTATAACTTTGTCATTTCTAGCATGATTTGAATGAAACTTGCAGAAATGGTAGCCCCTTCTGAGGACATGAAGCCTGCCAAGTTTCAGGGAGATAGGTGCAGGGGTTTTGGAGAAACTGCACCTCAAAGTCTTGAAAGCAAAACTCATGTCACGTGTATGTGTTCAGCCACAGCAGGGTCAAAACTGCAGGCATGCTAGCCCCTGCTGAGGCCACAAAGCCTGCCAATTTTCAAGGAGACAGGTACAGGGGTTTCAGGGAAACTGCACCTCAAGATGCTGACCAGCAAAACTCATGTCATGGGTGACAGTGTGTGTGTTAAGGCGCAGCAGGGTGAAAACTGCAGGCCTGCTAGCCCCTGCTGTGGCCACGAAGCCTGCCAGCTGTCAAGGAGATAGGCGCAAGGGTTCTGGATTCTGGGGCCCTGCACCTCTGGCTGCTGACAGGCAAAACTCATGACATGGGTGGGTGACTGTGTGTGTGTGTGTGTGTGTGTGTGTGTGTGTGTGTGTGTGTGTGTTAAGGTGCACCCTCACTCAACTGACACCAAGGCACAAAGCAGGGCAGTTCAAACAATGCTGCCTTTTATGCAGTTTTCCATCCCTCCCCCAGAGTTTTCCAGCCCTCCCCCAGAGCACTGGGATTGGACGAAACCTCAGGGAAGGATGACAGTCATTGGCCAGCTACACATTTAATAATAAGAGCACTCCTTCCCCCACTTCCCTCTCCCTCTCCTTACTTTAGTTTCTGTTTCCCTGCAGGCAAGCCCAGCTTGAGCTTCATGTTTTGAAATTTTCAAAACGTTTCGACTTGCCTCGTTTCGTTTCAAGGCTGTTTCAAAGCTCTCTGTTTTGTTTCAATTTTGTGGTTTCGAGCTCAAAATGAGTCGAAACAAAGCTGCCGGCAACATTTTGCACAGCCCTAATAGGCATAATTACTCCTAGATCAAACCCAGCCAGTGCCTATCCAACCTCTTCCTAAACACCTTCAGTGATAGAGAGTTCACAGCTCCCCTGGGTGTCTATTCCACTGCCTCCCTGATCTGATGGTGAAGTTCTTTTTCCTGAGTATACAGGAGGCAGCAAGGAAGGTAATAGCTTTCTGGAGGTACTGAGGCGGGACATTTTAATGGAAAGATCTCACAGGGACCTGACAAAGATTTGCAGGGAGAGGGGGAGATCAGGACCCCACCTGGGATCCAGGCCCACCCTTGTACCTAGCTCTTGTCACCAAGAGACCCCCCACCACCACCACCAAGAGACCCAGAAATCTCTGGATTGGATGCAGCCAACACCCAATGCTTATGAAGTTGAATCCCAAACTAGAAAGGGCAGAGAATGTTATGTTAGCTTGGATCTACAGAGACAATACCACTGGAGACCAAGCATCAATGCTTGGTTAATAACCTATTTTTCTCCATGAAATGGACTTGGCAGGTTTCCTGCCACCCTTCTGCATAAGTAACTTTCAGTTTCAACTGCTTGCATGCATGTTCCCCTTCTATTTTTAAAATGACTATCACAAAATCATCTTGCATCTCTCTACAGACCAAATGGAATGAAAACTTCACTGTGAGAGCAGAAGGAACTGGGCAAGGGACCCTTACAGTTGTGACTGTTTATAACGCAAAGATAAAAGAGGATGAATCCAAATGCAAGAAATTTTACCTGAGCGTATCGGTGGAAAATATCCCACGGCGTAAGAAACTTCCTCTCACTTCCCTTCTGAAGCTTGTTGGGACGCCTAGGTGGTCTGCTCAGGATTACACTGGTTCAAATGCAGAGTAACTCTGATGGCAGCAGACTTCCATAGACAGGGCTGAATGGAATTTGGGACAATATCATGGCACATTTGTGGTCTCTGGAGCCAGCCAATCACTTGCTCAGTCCCCTTTTTTTTTTTTTTTAAGCCAGTTTTTGAACGATTTCAAAACTCTCCAAGTTCCAGATCAAACCAAATTATATGCATCAGGCTGGCAATAAGTAACCCAAGGCACCGCCGTGTTCTAAACAGTATCTCTTTTCTTAGTTTGCGATGAAAGAGATTATTCCTTCTCCCTCTTCCTGGCACTTGTTATCTGTAGAATTGGTGTATAGTGTCCTAGAGAAGTAGGGCTGGAAGAGACCTCCAGAGGTCACATCTAGTCCAACCCCTTGCCTGAGGCAGGACCAGCTGTATCCAAACCATCCCAGACTAATTTATCATCTAACCTCTTAGTAAAACTACCGTCAGCCCTGACACAAGTCTTCACACCTGAACACCCCACGGAGAAAACGGGGAGATCATGGTAGCCAATGTCCTGCTTCTATAAAAGGTTAATTTGCACTCAAGAGGTCCCAGGCAGAGGCTGTACCCCCACTGCAGAGGAAGGACCCTCCCCACCCCCCGCAAGTCCAGACCAATCTGACTAAGGGGTAAAATTACTTCCTGACCCCAAATCTGGAATTGGTCTGAGCCTCAACAGAGAGCAAGAGTCTCTAGCCAGAAACCTCCAGGTTTGAGTCCCAGCAGGAACATTGGTGCAGTGCAGTCACAATCCCCAGGATTGGCTGTAGCCAACACCCCATCTGATGTGGATAGCAACTCAGCCCTGTTCCTCTAGGACACTTTCATTCTGAAGTAAGATGTGAGCACTAACCAAGAAATCTGGATCCAAGTCCAAACTTCCAGCAGCCGCATATCCAGAAAGCATCGGTGTTTTAGGAGGGACAGAATTTCCCAGAGCATGAACCTCTACCACTTGAGCTAAACAAGTCACTCCTTTAGCTGGAAGAAGCTGGGTTTCTAGTTGCCTGGCTAGCCAGTTCTACAGCCATGAATTTTGGATCCACTCTTAACTTGTCTGAATAACCAAGGAGTTCCTACCCAAGCTTCTGGCCCAGTCACATCTCTGTTTTCTTTAACTATAAACCACACTTCATCTTTACCATTCTTTTGAGAACCACTTTGCAGTTGGAACAATTTATGGTCCGCATTGGTGGGATCTATTTTTGATGATGACACTGGGATCTGTTTGATTACTGGGTTCTTAAACACCCCCCCCCCCCCCCCCCCGGGG